TGCCATGAGGAAGTTCAGCTTAAAGACAAGTCCCAGGAGTGTTTCTGGTACCAAAAGGCGTTTCTGGACCCCACCTGTTGTTTTGCTCCTAGCATGACTTCCTAAAAACACTGCAGGATTTCTCAAACATGCATGAATGAGTCAGAGCAAGGCTTTTGGCGTGTTTTTTATGAGAGTATAAKATTATAACATGATATAAAACTCAAAAAAGTTGATTTTAAATGATATTGGCCCTTTAGCTTCTCACAACTGTCCAACTAACCAAGTTTTAAAATCTTATATCCAGCTAAAAAGTCTTTTAGGTCTTGTTTTTAGACTGAGTTACTAAACAAGAACAGAATGTGTCAGAAATATGTGAAAATTGAAGATTAATTTTGATTGAATTTATTTATTTGAGAAAAAGGGGCAGAAATCATAAGCTTTTTTCTTCTTCTGCTACCTTTCTTTTAATTTATGATTTGTATTTTTATTGTATATTGAATTTATGTTGTTTTGTTTTTAATGAATAAACTTTAAAAAAGATTGATAATCTTGTTATCAGAATGCATAAGATTATTTATCTTGTTAGCCTGAAAATTTGACTCAAATGAAGTGAAAAATTGTGCCAATGGAGTAAAAAAAAAAAGGCACCTGGTAAGATTCTTAAAATAAGAAAACTATGAGTCAAATCAAGTATTTGAAGAATCTTACCAGGTGCTGGTTTAAAAAATTAAATTAAAACACAAACGTTGATTTTGATATAAATATAAACAGCTCATTTTCTTCAAATTTTTTTAAACAGGACATTTTTTAAGTTGTTAGTGGCTATGAAAATATAACCAAAACCATAAAAATGACCAAAGCTCACAATAAACCAAACTGGGATGCTGCATGCCAAAACTCTGAGCACTCCTGATCCCATGACTGATCAAAACAGCAACTTTGCTCTGCTTTGGTTTACTTTACCTAATAATGTTTGTTATAGTGTTATTTATGATTTTTATACAATGATGTCTTAATGTTGTCAAAGCTTTGTGCTTTAATCCCTGCACAGGGCATATACTATATTTATGGAAGTATTTTGTTACCTTTTTCCTACAAAAAGCCGGTCAGCTCTGTCTGTTTTCTCTGTTAAAACCTGATATTACTGGTGCCTGTTCCAGGTTTCTGTTGCTTCAGGCAGAGGGGAGGAGATGCGAAAAGTAACTTTTATGGTACGCCCACCAAGTTCCAGAGCAGTAACATAACTGTCTAAATAAACAAATCTATGGACCACTTGTAGGTTTGTGATAAATCTTGGTTTCAGGTACTGAGTCCTGGTAGAACAGTGACTCTTAATGGGACATCCCATCTTTAAGCACATCTTTTTGTAGGAAGATATTGAATTTCTATTAACTTTTATTAAACCAGGCAAATCCCACAGAGATCACAGATCTTGTTTGAAAGGGAGGCCCAAAAACAAGCTTCAATGTAAAAGTGATACTTTACAGTTTTTAAACATGTCTGCTTGAAATTGTTTGCCATTAAAGAGCTCTAGGAAATTTAAATCCACAAAACAGTGGTGATGTCTGCGTATCAGATAAAACGAGCATAGCTTGGAGGAATTCGTATCAAACGTCACTTTTCATCCCACATGGCAAAGTTTGTCTGGTCCAGTTCTGGCCTAACCTAGCAATTCCTGCACATTCTGTTCGATTCTGATCCTTCTCTGTTCTGTCTGGGCTTTTTTTTATCATTGACAAGGATTTCTATGGTACAAATTCTACTGGGCCAATCAGTGAACATTAGGAGGAGTTGTGAACAATGACATCGATTTTCTGCGCTGTTTTAGTCTGCCTATAGCTTTGCAATTGGAGTGGAGAAAGTGAATGGTCATTCAGTCCATGTTGACAAGGCTTCCAAATTACATGGCAAACAAGATGGCGGCAGTGGCGGCAAATGTATGTAGCTGTCGCTGCAGGAAAATACATCCCATTTGGCTTTACAGGCATCTGCAGGTCTGTTTTTGACCAAATTCACCTCAGCTTTAGTGTTGCTGTTACTCTGTATGCTACATAAACGGAAGATCAAAGACGCAAATGACGGACATCATTTTCGAAAAACAACAGCACACATCGAAAAACAACAGCACACAAGTGTCCTATGGCGTGTATACAAGCATCGACCATATGTTATCCTAACTTTGGTAAATATCATCTACCTTGCCGGTTGGGCTGGTTTCTCCGGCTTGCTGCTGTTGCGGCGTGTCTCGGTGGAGTGGCGGATGTGGATGGGGTCCCTCGGCCCTCGGATTGTCCCCTCGTGTTTGGACGGAGCGCCTGGGGTGGACTTGCCGGCCTGGACGCGTGGCGGTGGGAGCCGGGACGGAGCAACTAAGCTAACAAGTGAGGTGTACAAGCTTCCCTGTTGCCTATTTGGATCAATATCAGCCGTGCCCTGTTTTTCGGTTGAGGATCAAACTGGAGCTACTGGTTTTGGTGAG